TGGAAAGTGGGAATGTGACTCCCTTGGAACAGATAAAGTAGGAAAGCTGGGAGTCCAACAGAGAAATCTTCCCCTTCCCCCAACCCAGACTTAGAAGCAACACATAAAGCTGGCAAATGCTTTTGCTTGTTCATATTTTAAGAGGTATTAAATGTTGGCAGCATGCTAAGTGTTGGAAGGACGGGGCGTCGCCATCCAGCTAAACACAGGCAAAGCAGAGACAAAGACAGCAAGAGGAGGGGGAGGGAGGAGAGAGGAGAGGGAAGAGGATGAGGTAGAGGGGAGTGGTGGAGTAAAGAGGAGAAAGGAGGGAAATGAAGGAGAGGGAGAAGAAAGGACAGGGAGGGAGAGGAAGGAACTAGAAGAATGAGGGGGAAGGAGAGTAAAACATTGGGAGAGTGGGTGAGATAGGGAGTGGGGAGAAAAGCAAAGAGAAGAGAAACAGGGGAGAGAGAGAGAGAGAGAGAGAGAGAGAGAGAGAGAGAGAGAGAGAGAGAGAGAGAGAGAGAGAGAGAGAGAGAGAGAGAGAGAAGAGAAGAAGAAGAAAGAAGAAGAAGAAGAAGAAGAGAGCAGGGGAGGGGGAGGGGAAGGGAGGGAAGGGGAGGGGAGGGGAGGGGAGGAGAGGAGAGGAGAGGAGAGGGGAGGGAGGGGAGGACAAGCCCCAGAGAAACTTGAGACTGTCAACTATTTTTGCTTTTGCAGAGAAGTTGAGGGTTTTTTCTTTTAAAGACCTGAATTGGAGACCAGATTCTTTCTGAAAGGACAGTCATGGCAATGAATCTTCCATTCCAGCGGTGCTGGGCTTCCCCAAAGGTCTGGGAGCACCCAAGGCAGCTGTCAACATGACCCAGCTTCCCCTAGGAGAGGCAGTGAGGTATGCTGTGCTGGACTTGGAGTCAGGAACATGGGTTCCAGTCCTGCCTTGGAGACTTTCTGGCTGAATGACCCTGAGCATATCACTTAAGCCCTCTGAGCCTTAGATCCCTCATCAGTAAAATCAGAATAACAACTGCAGACAGTTGCTATGAGGTTCAGAGATGATGCTTATAAAACATTCTGCAAACTTTAAAGTCCTGTGTAAATGGCAGCTTATTACTATTTAGAAGGGTCATAGAACAGACTTTAGTAGACTTGGCTTACAGGAAAGGAACCTCTCCACCGCAAAGCCACCCAAATTTTGTTTTAAAAAAAATCTCTTTGAATTATTCTGATCCTTTGGGACCCATGTGTAAGTTTCATTTTGTCTCAAAGTCCATCAATCCAAAAGTGTTGCTCAAATCCAGGGCACTTCCTAGGGTGGGGGAGGGGGATACACACAAAAGTGTGGGGATAAAAATTATCCAACCTATAATAAGAGAAACTGAGGCAGAGCTCTGAGCCAATGACACTTTATTAAAGGGTCCATGATCCCCTCTAATGAAGTGGACCTCAGATCTTCGTCATGATTCAAGATGCTCCCTCCTTACAGGGCCCTGTATTTATAGGGTTTGATATACAAACAGTCAAGAATAGAATAATGTCATTGTTTGACATATGACAACTAGGCTAAAATGAGCAAAACAATGTATCAGCAGGGTCTTGAGCTGGGCAAGGCAAGGAATATCTCCAGCACCTGCTCATGTTGGACAACAGAGAATGGTCTGGAGTTACAAAAATAATTTTGGGGGGCTTTTCATGTAGTGGAGTCCCCTCTGGCACACTGGTCTCGGTCACCATGACAAGGAAAAGCAAGGATGGAGGGCCTCCATCCAGCTTCCCATGATGATGCAAGTCATCTTACCATCTGCAGCTCCCAGCTCTGGGGCCAGAACTTAGAATCATATCAAATTGATCGAGACTGATTGGAACAGAGTAGGGGGTCTTCACTGAATCCATTTCCTCATTCCCCTCTTCGATCCACAGAAAGACCACGGTCTTTCTTTGGAATGCTACCATCTAAATGCATGGAGGGCAGTCCTCCATGGGCAAGGCAAAACCAGTAGAGGGCAGCCCCATCACTGAGGTGCAAAGGTGACATTGGTAAAAAGAGAAACGGGCACAACTCATAACATACTGATTATGTCCCATTTGATTAAACAATAACTCATAATACATTAAATGTGACAATAAATGTCTTAGGTGACACTTTAAGAAGTGCAAGAGACAGTTACCTTCTAGCAAAACATGTCCTTTAAGATACGAAAATTGGGGAACCATAGGGCAGTTGTTCAAGCACATTAACCCAAGTGTTGTTTGCCCTACACACAGATTCTGGAAATCGTTATGAAAACTATTCAAGCAATTTTGGCAAACAGCCACTCCATTATGGTGATGAGACGTAACATCCCTGCAGACAACACAAACAGATGTAGATGCTTGGAGCATGGGGAGTGGAGGAAAATAAGGAATAGGTTGGGATCTATGAATGAAGGAATTATCAGTATTATCAGTCATTGCTGTCAGTGGTGAAGTAAAAGCCAAAGGAGGAGACTGACTGAAAAGGGGGATCCGAAGTTCCAGTCACTACAGGCTCAGGACAGGTGGTTTAGGAACCATTTGTAGAGAGGACAATGATGATGATGATGAATCTCATCTCAAAGTCATCCAGTCTTTGAAATATCATCTGATACCTTCCTGTGGTCCTCTGGAGATCTCGCCTCCTGGGAATACTGGAATGAGTGGGGCTGCTACTGGATCTGCTTCTCCAGTTCAGGTCTCTTGCAGAGATCCCTTTCTCTGTTAACAATCTCTGACAAATACATCTTAATACAATTCTAATTTGCTACAACAATAACCAGATCAGGCAGTAAAGGCCAACTCAAATTTTAACAGCACCAATACGAACATTACGAGACCAGGGAACTTACATTTTTTAGGTTGGCAAATTCAAATAACAATTGAAAAATTCAAAAATTCTGAGCCTAAATTTTATATTTGGCATACCAAATTGCCTAATCTTATTATAACTATTTATTAAGACCAACTGAAAATGTTTTACTCTAGCCCTTTTCCTTTCTAGCTATTTTCTTTTAACTGCTCACTCCTTTCCTAGGAGGGTGAGGTTCTGGTAGGGAACTATTAACAGACACTTTCTTTTTAAAGGATGATGACTTCTGATGCTCAACTGAATGCATTTAAAATTTACCAAAATAATTGTGATTTTAAGAAAAAATTCTGGGATGGGATGTATAAATACATTGAGTAGTGAATTTCAAGACAGTGCAGATCAAATAAGTTCTTTACAATAAAACATGTTTGTCTTTCAAGACATGCTCAACATCCAGGTGGTAATACAAACCCAAATAAAATTGGTGTTTCCTATTTAAGTAACTCGAGATAGTCTCACATTCTTTTCTTCAAACTGGAACTAAAGATGTTTCTGTTTTAGGCTTAATAATTAATAGAACAACAATTTGGTCCCATAAATTGTTCCACAAATACCCAATTATCCTCACATTAATTTTAGGAAGGACTAAAATTTTAGGCTAAATAACTCAAATCTTATCTCCAGTATTAATTTATGAATCTTCAGAGAATTTTAATTGTTGCATCACGAGGGCCTGAAATGGAAGAGTCTTTGTCTCTCTTAATATTTTTAGATAGATATTGCAAACAATTTTTACATGTAAAATTCTTAATCCAATTTTGAAAATGGTGTCATATCTCTTACTAATCATATTATCATGATGAAAGAATGTTATAGGATGATTTCTTATAAACTAAATAACCCACCAGTTGTAAGGCTTCATGGTTTCTATTATTTGTGATTCAAGTGGCTACACTTGCCCTCATCAATGGAATTTGCTATGTGCGGAGAAAGGCAGGGACATAGATAACGGCATTAGCTCTATTTGATTTCAGGTATGAGTCATAGGCTGCCAATTGTATGACAGGATGGCATAGCCAGCCTCAGAATTAACCAGGTGGGAAAATTTCTCATTTACCAAGATGGGAATAGGTCAAGAGAATCCTATCTTCACCTTTGAAAGGTTGTTCTCTCAACTTTCCCAGTGACAGACATCTATAGGACATCCAGGCCTCAGACTGCAGGGGCACGTGACATTTCCCTTGAACGATGAACCAGCAGCCTTGTGAAGGGTCAAGATACTTAAGTCTGGATTCAAGAGTTAGAATAGCAGCAAATTGAAGTCCCAAGAGACTCTTCCTCAAATCGCAAAATTTCACTAATCACAGCTTGGCTAGATAATTATTATTTTCTCATATATTAGCCTCAAAATTTCATCTAGAATTTTTTAAATTATTCACAAATTTCGTCTGTTTTCTCTTATCATTCCCCCGTTGGTCTACAGATTAAGACAAAAGGAGATCAGGCTGTTTCTAGAATACAATGAGATGAGAACCCCATCAAAATCCATGGAGACAAGTGGGTCACATTTGGACAGAATTTCCTTGGTGAAAGCTATGATATATATCAGAAGGAACTGTGGCTTTAGAACTAAGGAATAGCTCAACCTTGGTCAAGGACTAACTTGTACATAATACTAATCTTTTTCTGTAAGTGCTCAAAGAGGGGTACAAGCTAGCAGATGACCACCTGTGGATGTGACTTGAAAAGCCAGCTGATTAAAAGCTAACCAAGTTGGAAAGTGGCTGTCATGCAAATTGTCACTGGGGTGGTGTCTGGAGTGACCCACTCAGTTAAATCTATCATCCCTTGTATACCACAATGACCCCCACCCCAGGCACTAAAGATCCCCCTTAGGAACTGAAAAAGTATATCTGGGGAGGAGTGGTTTACCTATCCCAGTCACCCAGACCCAAGAGACCTGTTTAATACCGTACAATTGCTATTTTCCACTTCTTCACCACAAGTTCATGCACAGTGAATAGCTGGTTCAAAATAATATCATTGAAAGATACAACTACATGAGTTTCCAAATGGTCCCAAATGACACCCATTTATTCTTTAAAAAGTTTTCCTTTTTCCAGTTTGAGTGGGAGAAGCCCTAGTTCCTCAAACTGCAGTGCCACTGAGTTTCACACCTTGTCAGTAGGGTTTATCCCAAGGAACCTCACAAAGCTCTCCTAAGAGGATTTTGCTGCACCCTTCTCCCGACAGTAAGTCATTAATTACTACAACTGTTAGTATTTTCTAGGTTTCTTTTATATATCTATATCTATCTATATCTATATCTATATCTATATCTATATCTATATCTATATCTATATCTATATCTATATCTATATCTATATCTATATCTATATCTATATCTATATCTATATCTATATCTATATCTATACAACACACAACACACACACTCCAATAATCATGTAACAGATGCATTTATGGTGTAACTGTATTCAGATTGAAAAGAGGAAGAAACTTGCTTTAACAGCTTCTATTAGCCTTCTTGTACTTAAAACATCACAAATCAGGTGATGATAATTTAGCTTAATACCTTTCAAGCTTATCAATTCATAGAAAGTCATTTGTTGTATTACCCCTGGCATTTTCACGCTTATCATAGTAGTTGATGTAGTGTCTACCTCATGCCAGGCTTCTTCTATGTCTTGAAAGTTGCTCAACCCTGGTTTTTTATTTTTTAAGGAATACTGAAGTATTACTTTATGTTTAATCTATAATTTCTTGTTAACATCCCTGCCAATTAGGAAAGGTACCTATAGATGGGATAGCCATTTTATTCAACAGTATTTCTACAAGGTCTGAACACCACAGTGCTCATGCTTTACACAAGCTAGGTACTGTGTTAAGTACTTCACAACTATATGTTTCTCCCAACAACCTTGAGAGATAGGTGTAAATATTTATTATTCCCTTTGTACATATGAGCCCTGATTGGATTCTCTACTTTACTAGCATTACAATATTTTCAGCCCAATCAATTTGATTTAGAATGACTAGTGGCAATAACTAAGCTTCGCTTTGAACAAGGTACCATTATTTTTACTGGCTTATATTAAAAAAAACTCCATGGTGCCACTCCCAATTTCCCACCACTGCTTCTCTGTTTCTTTGAGTTCCCCAAAAAGCCAAATCAGTTCCTTTAAATTTTCTAAATGACTAATCCTTTAACATGACTATTTAAACCACAGCAAAGAGATAATCCTTTCTCTATCAATCAACTAATTAACATATTTTATGAAACACATTTTGTAGACTTATATTGATTGAGGAAAGAAGACATGTAACAACTATCAAAGGGGTGTTGCTTAAAAAATATCCCTAAATCTTTTCTATTTCAGTAGGATTAAGACCCTTCCTGAAATCTCCCTTTCAAAACACCAAAACTCTTTGACTTTCAAATCTTGAATTTACACTTTCTGTGCAAACTCCAACTTTCTTTACCTGTCTACTCATCCTTAACTTTTCTCCTTATGCAACACTACTCTTTCTTTCTTCTACTTGCTTAATTTCACTAGTAAACCTTTTTTTGTTTCTTTAGTGATTATAGTTAATACTAGTTTCTTTAAGGGCTTTTAGTTAATTAGGATTAGTTACAATCACATAGTTTTTATAAGTGATAAGCAAATAGACTCAAAAAATAACTCACTCAGCATAAGAAGTCCCTCATTTTGTCAGAGATTTTAGCAAGCAGGACGATTTTAGAGGAAAAATCATCTGTCTGCTTCTCAAAGTTAACCTTTTTTATGCTAGAAAAGCATTCATCCAGCTATTTTGGCAATAGTCCAAGGCGGGTCCACCAAAGCCCAACTATGGCACAGAAACATCACAGATATTGGTATTCTGAAAGGTTCTCTGTTATTCTCACAATAGTAGGTTACTATTATTACTCTCTTCTTTATTATTCACTCTTAATGAAACGTAGAACAGCCTCTTCCATCCTTCCTTCCTTCCTTCCTTCCTTCCTTCCTTCCTTCCTTCCTTCCTTCCTTCCTTCCTTCCTTCCTTCCTTCCTTCCTCTCCCTCCCTCCTCCCTCCTCCCTCCTCCTCCTCTCTCTCTCTCTCTCTCTCTCTCTCTCTCTCTCTCTCTCTCTCTTTCTTTCTTTTTACAAAGTTTTGATATTTTCCAAAATTGTCATTTCCCTATTAGGAATTTTGTGATCACCTCTCATCAAAAGAGGAGCTAATTTCTTTTTCTGGGAGTACTTTGGGAATCACCTTCAACTGGGGATCCCTAACCAGGACTTGCCTGGTGCCCTGGGATTGTTATTTAAAAGCAGTAAACAACAGAAGGGTAAATGAATCATTTTTATTCTTTTTTTTAAATGAACATTTCCATATATTAAGTATAGAAAAAAGATTGTATGTGAAACTGAATTTCTATTACATACAGCTTATTTCCCCCCCAGATTTGTACTGATGGACTGGCTTGATGGGTTTTCTATATCACAGTTTAGAAAAGAGGCATTATTCAGCAACTTGAGTTTTCCGGTGTATATAGTTAGGCTGAACTTTTGAATGAATATGGACATGGATTTCATTTAGGAGGTTCTGTAGGGTTCCAGGGCTTAATAGTACTGAACAGAAGAGGGTCATTAAACAGTATCTTTGTTGTTACCTCTTTCCAAGAAATTTTTATAATTTAATAAGTCATATAGGAAATACTGTGTGTCAGGCACTGTGCTAAGAGTTTTATGAAGATCTCATTTGATCCTCAAAACTACCCTGGGAAGTAGGTGCTATTATTAGCATAATCCCAGTTTTCTAATTGAGGACACAGGCAAACAGAGGTTATGTGTTTTGCCTAAGGTCACACAGCTAGTGAGATCAAATTTGAACTCAGGTCTTCCTGATTCCAGGCCTATCTATCCACAGAACCACTTAGCTAGCTCACCATTTGTCATACACATAGGGCCCACCCTGTTGGAAGTCTTTAAAGCAGTGTTTTGCTGTACTGAGTCAAATGCTTTGTAATAATTAGTAGAGTGGGATCTTATTTTCTCTATAACTTTTCAGTCAATTTCAGTCTGTAAAGATTTGGGAAGGGTAAATTAACCATTTTTATCCTTTTCTGAAGATGATGTTAAATTTCCTTATTCTGCCTTCCAATAATAAAAATTCCTTCCTACAATAAGTTTATCCCAACTATGAGTACAGTTTTTAAAGTATGCCTTTATCCTACACTAAAATTAAAACCCATTTCACAGATTGACATCGCCAAACTCCAGATTTAGAGACTAGCTAGCTGAAACTTCTTCAGGCTTAGCAAATGTGTTTCCTTTTTGAATTCTGAATGGTGGAATTATTTACACTCACAAGATTTTTAATCTAAATCTAAAAAGACAGTTCTTAAAATGCAAACTTTAGCTTTAAATCAATCCCTGGTCATTTTAAAAAGTCTCTTTTAAGTAAGAACTGATCTGTGAATTTTGTTTGTTGTTTTCACTAAACTCTACAGAGTTTGGTAGCACCTTATAAGCTCATCAAAATACTTTATAAAGACATCCAAATTATAACTTAGAAATTAAAGAAATAAGATTATTCCTTTTTATCAAATGTGGCTACCTGTCATTTTTTTTGTACCTTAGTTTTCAATTAATTTTTGTGTCTGTCTTTCATCTCATCAATCTCCAACATGGCCGGTGTTGGAAACAGAGAAAAAAAGAGAGATGTGTCTTCTTTTAAGCCTTTAAAAAAGTTTATGTATTTATTTATTTTACAGAGCCTGTTCCTTTTGATTGAGCACGCCAAAAGAAAAAGCATAGTGAGTAAAACACCTGTTAGATACGGGTTGGCACAAAGCGGGCACACATTTCCAATTCTCTTAAAAATTTTCCTGATTGTATAAGGCCCTTTTCTATCTGAAATAAAATGCCCACTACTCCTAAATTTAGTTTCAAACAGACACACGCAGAACATAAAACAAGACGCAACATTAAATCAAGTTTGAACTTCTAAGGTTTCCTCTAGGAGATTTTAAAGTCCAGCTCTTACCTGTCTCCTTTTTTAAGTCCTAGAGCACATGACCATCTTGCGGCTGGGGTCCTACTGTCAGCCGAAGATAATTTTTCTGTCTCCTAATTATGTTAACACTTTGAGAATCTTATCGATAAAACTTGCAATTTAGTAACAATACACATTGCTCCAGTCTAATTTGCCTTTGTCGATTGGGTTCATCCGTTTAAAGTGCACTTTGTATGTAGAACAAGTCCCTAATAGATAGAAGTTCCATTCCTCTAGACTTTTTGCCGAAGTATAATCATAGGAAGAAAAACTGAGACTGATGAAGGATTTAGCAATATCAATAGTTCATTTATTTTAAGGTGATTTGGGAGGTTATTCAATACAATTCCATCACTTTCTAAGAAAATCAAAAGTTCTATACTTTGGCCGAAACAATCCTCCAGACCCTTGAATCCTCAAACCAAACTTTAAAAAGCTTACTAGCTCTTTCTTTAGTCATCCCTACCTCTGGACAGGGAGTCCACCCTTTTTCCAGGCCATAATGGGGATCCTGTAGGATGCATTTCTCCTCTTATGCCCCGCCCCATCTCTCTTCCCTGACCAAGAGTGGCACTCTTTGGAGGAATTTCCCTCCAGAGAACTGGACTAGGTTTCCAAAGCACGTGCCTTTTTGGCTGTTCCTTCTGAGAAGTTCCTCAACTGAAGGTGCTTAGAGATCACCTCCTTCAGATATCCCCCCTGGACAGGGAGTTCACTCTTTTCCCAGGCCTCAAAATAAAGCAAGGGAAATAATTTCCAACCCGCCTGAATTCTGCCTATGTGGGCATCTTTCCTACAGCTAATACTATAATATTCAGGAATTTGTCTTGGCAATTTCTCCAATACTTCCTATTCTTAATTTCTGGGCTTAACCTCTATCTAGGATCCTAAAACCAGTTAACTAGGGCCTGAAGGTGCTTTATAAGGGAACATTCAGCAAAATTTATACCCACTTTCCTTTAAAGCTTCCTGAAAAATTAGCTCTAATCAACGTAATCCTGAGGAGATATAAGTGAAAATAACCTTTTCCTTTTCTCATATCTGTAAAACTAAAATAAGCCTTCTTCTCAGGTCAAAAGAGGGTGGGATTGGTCACAGCCTTGACAGTTTACTGTTGGGGTTGGCAATCTCTCCCCTAAGGCCCCCAAAGTTCCCCTTTAACCACTTTGAGAGGTTCTTTCTGCTGATGACAAGAATTATTTAATTACTACTTGTTAAAAGAATTTGAAGACAAAAAAAAATCTGTTTTAACTCTGCCAACAGGAAGTTTTAAAATTAGCTAGGTGGCTAGCTGGCAGAAAATGAGGAACTAGCAATTCTACTGCTGAATCTCCCTGGCCTTAAAAAATGAAATTAAGAAAAATGGAGGGGGGAAAAAACCAGTTGCCCATGTTTAAAAAGTTAAAGTTATGGCCATATAGTTTTATATTAAAAAAATAGAATTCTAGTGCTCCAGGGCTTATAAATTTAGACAGATTAGTCACAAATTCAAACAGTCTCTCTTAACCCAATCAGAGACCCTTCTTAAAGAAAATAAATTTAGGATAAATCAAGGCAGACTCACCAGTCTTGAAGAGACTTACCTCAGGCTTAGAGAATTTGGGTACAGACAGCGAGGAGAGTCCAACCTCCCAGGGCTAGTGTACATGGGAGAGCCATCAGCAAAAATTCAACCCACTGTGCATTTCCTCTTTGGGTCCCTTGCAGAGGCCAGCCAAAAGAGGTTGGGGTCCATGCTGTCCCGGAGGAGTCTCCATTTATGTGGGGATAAAAATTATCCAACCTACAGTAAGAGAAACTGAGGCAGAGCTCTGAGCCAATGGCACTTTATTAAAGGGTCCATGATCCCCTCTAATGAAGTGGACCTCAGATCTTCCTCATGATCCAAGATGTCTCCTCCTTCCAGGGCCCTATTTTTATAGGGTTCGACATGTAAACAGTCAAGAATAGAATATTGTCATTGGTTGACATATGATGCCTAGGCTAAAATGAGCAAAACAGTGTATCAGCAGGGTCATGAGTTGGGCAAAACAAGGAGTATCTCCACTGACTAGGTGGTCATATGATGGTCACAAGGTGGGTACCTGCTCATGTTGGACAAGAGAGAATGGTCTGGAGTTACAAAAATAATTTTGGGGGGCTTTTCATGTAGTTGAGTCCCCTCTGGAATACTGGACTTGGTCATCATGACGAGGAAAAACAAGGGAGGAAAAACCCATGATGGTGCAAGTGACCTTACCATCTGCAGCTCATAGCTCTGGGGCCAGAATAATATCAGATTGATTGATGCTGATTGGAACAGAGTAGGGGGGATCTTCAATGCATCAACTTGACAGAGTCTATGTATTTGCATACATGAGATGGAAGACAAGGAAAGATCTCAGGAAGTAGAGTGGGAAACAGGAGAAGACAAGCATCATTTGAACAGAAATAGGCAATGGGCTTTTGGGGACTTGGGATATGGGAGTTGGGCACTGAAGGATGGAGAAGGTTGGAATGTCTGTGTATGGCACCAAGGCTGGCCTCCCACAGCAGGCATCTATGCAAGAGCCTATAGAGTAACCTGCATTGGCTACATGACTAGAGGTTGGGGAGTGGTATGATGGGGGGAGAGAATAAGCATTTATTTTACACCTACTATGTGCCAGGCACCATGCTAAGCATTTTTTTTTTGCAAATATTATCTCATTTGATCCTCACAACAACCCTGCAAGGTAGCTGTTATTATCCCCATTTTACAGATGAGGAAACTGAGGCAAACAGAACCTAAAGAACTGGCTCAGGGTCACACAGCTAGTAAGTATGTGAGGCCAAATATGATTCTTCCTGACTCCAGGGCTAGAGCTCTATCCGCTGGGCCACCTAGCTGTCTGATGTCATAGAAAGAGCACTATGGAGTCTGAGAGCTTGGGTTCAAATTGTGCTGCTTAGTACCTTGGATAAATCATTTCCCACTCTGGGCCTCAGTCTCCCCATCAATCATACGAGTGTTAGACTAATTGGCTTCTAATGTCATTTCCAGCTATACATCTGATGAGGCTGAGAGCAAGAAGCAGCATTGGCCAGGCTCTAGTAACTCTGCATCATGCAAACTGACCTCCCCTTTTCTGTGGCAGTCATTCCATCATAGCAGATGTTTTTAAAATCTGGTTATCAGACACAAGTATAAATGTTGTCTTCCCCTAGCAGAATATAGACTCTTTGAGGGAATGGTTGCTTGCCTGGATATACATCCTCTGCACTTTGCACAGTGCCTGGCACAAAGTAAAGGCTTAATAAATGCTATTCCACCCCATACCATTATTTGTCTCATATACAAAAAGCCTGGAAGTGTAGATTCCTGAATTCTAGTCAGAACCATAGAATTTCAGAGTTGGAGGGAACCTTGGGGCCCATCTAGTCCAACCCATCCCTGTCCGAGTATCCCCACTTACACATCCTCCCCAAGAAGTGATTGCCCAGCCTTGGCTGGAAGCTTAAGGAGAGACCCACTCCCTCCCAAGGCCACCCAGGCGACCCCCGCGGCCAGGAATTGAGGCCTGACAACAAGTCCCATCTTCTTCTCCACGATTCCCACCTCCTTCTCACCGTTCTGCCTCCCAGGGCCAAGCAGGACAAAGCTAAGCCCAGCCCTTTAGATACTTGAAGACAACCAACAGCTCCACCCTCTTCCTCTGGGTTAAGCACCACCAGTTCCTTCAAATGATCCTCACATGGCATGAGCTGAAGACCCTAGACTTCCTGTCTGTCTTCTGCATCCTCTCCTGTTTATCAATATTGCTCCTAAGATAGGATGCCTCCAAATGGAATACCATTCTAGGGACCACTGAGGATCTGCTGGATAACTGTCACCCATGTTCCCCCTCCATGTGGCAGGTCAGAGCTAAGGTTAGTTGTTTAACAAAAGGACTGGAAAATACCTCAGACCATGACTTACAAAATAGTAGTTACATACATTTCCATGGTTCTTTGTGAGTTACCAAAGATTTTACGAAAATGTTCTCATTAAGGCCTTATAACAACCTTGTGTATTTTTCAGATGGGAAAATTGTAGAGATTAATATAGTCTGCTCAATGTTGTGCTCTAGGTCCCACAACTAGTAAGTGAGTAGGAGCTCTGGATTTGAACTCAAGTCTTTTGATTCCATCTATAGTATCCATCTGTCACAAATCTAGGACCGACTCATTAACAATTCACATTTCTTTAAGCATGGAGGGTTTGTCAAATGTTTTCCCCATAGTAATGTTGGGAATAGGCAATGAAAATATGATTAGCCCCATTTCATGAATGTTGAAACTGAGGAACTGATAGTTAAGTGATTTACCTGTGGAAAGAAGGAAACAAGCATTCCCTAGGACGTGAAACAAGTATTCATAGTACCTACTCTGTCCTAAGTACTATGCTAATCACTTCACCAATAATATCACATTTAGTCCTTACAAAAAAAACCCTGGGAGGTAGGTGCTATTATTATCTCCATTTTACAGTTGAGGAAATTGAGGCAAACATAGGTTAAGTGACTTACCCAGGGTCATTCAACTAATAAATATCTGAGGCTGGATTTGAACTTCTGAACTCCAGGTCCAGTGTTCTAATCACTACATCACACAGGTGTGGTCTTACAGGTACAAAACAGTGAGCAAGAATCAGAAAGAGGTCTAGATTTGAAGTCAGAGGGCCTGGGTTCAAATCTTCTACATGTATAGATATACATGTACAATTCACTTCGCATTTCTTGGTCTCAGTTTCCTTCTCTGTAA